TGCAAGCTTTCCTTCTTGGACCTGTCTTCTCATAGTTTAGGCTTAGTTGGATTGGTTTTATTTCATATTTTACATGTCTTTGCTCAAATGCAGATCACCTAATTAAGCCTCTATTAGGATGTATAACTCGTAAGACACTGTGTTAGGCTAGAGAAACAAAACCAGGACACTTATGCTTTTATATACATGGATAGGTTTATATAGCAAGAAGGAATATAGTAGCTAGTTAGTCCACACGGCAGTACAGAGGGCTCAGTTCAGCTCACATTCATGGAAGAGTTAATATACTGGAAGTCCTTCAACTCACGTGGGCTCCCGGGTATAAGGTCAAGGAAGCAGACAGAAAAGTCCTTCCTGGGGCAAGGCAGGCAGTCTGCCCATAGGCAGCAAACAGCAGGCCAGGTCAGCAATAGTCAGTAGCTTGGGAGCTAAGTGGAGCAGGTCCAGAAGGGATATTGAACTCAAGCTATGCAAGGCAACAGGATCCATGAGCTTCAAGCTCAAGCAATGTGCCCACCAGCAGCGTGGGTAGCTGGTCGAGCTCTAGCAACAGGATCCACAGGTTGGCTTGGCCCACAGATATTGTAGCTTACAAGTTGAGGCATAGAACTAGTTAAAGCAGCCACATGCTGGTCCAATCACCAGAGAGTAAGAGATCAGGGGCGGACCTTGCAGAGCCATTTATCTCTTTGTCCTCCAATCAAATTGCAACCTGATTAATCCCACATGTTCCTATTGGCCAGGTTGGCCAATAGCCTAACTATCACAGTCAGTGATTCTCAGTGTGTTCCCAAAGCCAGCATCATTGGCACCAGCTAGTAAGTTGTGAGAAGGTCAGGTTCTCAGCCTCCCAATCCTCACCCCTACCCCCCACACACCCAAGCTGTGAATCAGCAATCTTGTGCCTCAGGAAGCCTCCAGATGGTTCTGATGCTGTAGTGTTGACAACCATTGCTCTAACCACCTTTTACCAGAATCTCCACATTGCTACCTTGTTAAGGTTCTTATGTAATGGATGCTCTTTCAAAGTTCTTAATAGCTTGTCATTCACTCTTTTTTTCTCAAACTTAACCCAGGCCTGGCTTCCCCAGGGCAAGTTTGCATCTGAGAGAGGCCTGCCTCCTCCTCCTGCTCCTCCTTCACTACTGCCTCTGGTCCAGCCCTGGTTTGGGAAAGCCCTGGGTAAGGAGAATCTCCAATTCTCACCAGGGATTGCATTCAAAACAACTCTTTAAATCTACTTCCTTTGAGAACTCTGGTGCCACATGCAAAGCCGGGCAAAGGAGAATGGGAAATCTAAATGAGAGGGCACATTTGGAAGTGATTTTTTTTTTTTTTAAAGAATGCTTTTCTTAAGTTGCTCTAGGATTCCTTTTATAGAGTGAGCTCTACCAATGCCCCAGAGAAGTTGATCTAAAACAGGAACAACAGAAACCCAATCACCCAGTCAGCACATCAAGCACAGCCAGCAGCGTGAGTGGTACAGGTGTGTGCCTGTCAGAAGGGGTCTGCAGTCTTGTACACGTGTTATCCTTCTGTTGTTTCCATGCACTGTCCCATCCATTCTGACCCACCAAGACCCTGTATGACGCAGTAAAACAGGCCCACAGGGTTTCCTGGGCTATAATCTCCAGGCCACCAGTGTTTGGTTTGCAGCCCAGCGCGTAAGTACTGCAGTGCACAACCAGAGCTCCGAATATGGTTTGACTTCTGCTCAATTTTAAGAAGTTGCTGTGGGGGCCTCACACACTCCACACTGTGTACTAGTCATTCACTCTGTTCACCTTGAAAACAATGAGAAAGATGCCGCACACCAAATGGAGTCAGTATTTCTCCAGAAAGCAGAGGTAGGAGGGAAATTGTGATTGTTGTTAAGCTCACTGCCATGAGTCAGTGCTGACTCATAGCGACCCCCTGTGGGTGTCCAAGACTGTAACTATAATGGGAGTAAGAAGCTCAGTTTTTCTCCCGAGGTGGTTTTGAACTGCCAGCCTTGGGGATCCCAGCCCATACACATAACCACTCCAGCACCAGTGTTCCTTGTTAGGTGCCATCAAGTTGATTCTGACGCACAGTGACTATGTACAAGAGAGTGAAATACTGCCCGGTCCTGCACCATCCCACACCTGGTATGTTGGAGGCATTGTTGCGGTCACCGTGTCGGTGCTTCTCCTTGATGGTCTGCTCATTTTCGCTGACCTTCTACCAGCCATGACATCCTTCACGAAGACTTGTCTCTCCTGATAGTATGCCCAAACTGTATGATACCAAGTCTTGTCATTCTAGCTTCTAGAAAGCATTCTGACTGTCCTTCTTCCAAGACAGGTTTGTTTGTTCTTCTGACAGTCCACAGCACTTACAACACTCCTTACCAACACCATAATTCAAACCTATCAATGCTTCTGTGGTCTTTCTTGTTCACTGTCCAACTTTCACATGCGTGAAAGGCGTTCACAAATTCCACTTCCGTCCCCAAAGTGCCATCCTTATTCTTCAACACTTTAAAAAGAGGTCTTATGTAGAAGGAGGCAAGGGTGATGAGGAAAGGCATTATTTTTATATCAAGACAATTTTGTATTGCTAATAGTTTTATAATACATATTATCTATAAAATTAAACCTTATGCATCAATTCTGACTTTGCTGTATATGAAGGGGGTACCCCCAAAACAGAAAAAACTTCCCCTGGATGGAACTTTCATAGTAGTACATATTTTTTCCTGGTGGCCAAGCATTGAGCAACTCACTCTGAGTTAGTGCACCCAGTGCCATTGCCTGGAAGGTTCTCTCTGGTCACAGTGAATTTTTTCCTAAAAGCAGTTTTGCTCAAACCTTGTTTTTTGTGATGGCTGATTTAAGAGAACAGTGAAATTTTGTTTCCCGCCCCAGAAAAATGCCACAGAAACTGTTGTGATGTTGAACACAGCTTATAAGGACAGCACTATGGGAAAAATTCAAGTGTACAAGTGGTTTTCTCATTTCAAAAAAGGTGACATGTAGATTGATGACAAACCTCGTTCTGGACGTCCATCAACTTCCCACATGGACGAAAATCCTCCAAGTCAGATTGTTAATCAAGCTTTCTATTTAGAGGTTCTGAAAAGATTGTGTAACAGTGTACAACAGAGGTCTGATTGTTGGCAAGTGGAGGACTGGTTTTGCCACCACAACAATGCACCTGCTCACACAACCATCTCAGTGCACCAGTTTTTGGTAAAAAAACAGCATGCCTCCCTTGCCCCATGTACCTTACTCACCTGACCTCACTCCGTGCAACTTCTTTTTGTTTCCACGAATGAAGAGAGACATGAAAGGACAGTGATTTGACGACATAGAAGAGGTGAAAAAAAATGAGGGAGGTGTTGTCAGCCTTCCAAACAGATGAGTTTGAAAAATGTTTCCAGGAACGGAATCTCATATTTGACAAATGTATTAAATGTAATGGAAAGTACTTTGAAAGTGATGAGGTTGTTTTGTAAAAAAATTTAAATACATAGCTTTGGAAAAAAAATTCCTATTTGGGGGGGGAGGTATACCCCTTATAGATTGTAAGAGTGATCATTAGCACTGTTGAAAACCACAATGTATAAGAAAGTGGTGGCATGTGTATTTTGAAAAAGTTCTATTTTTTACCCAAATCACTCGAATATTCTTCTGGTCTTTTAGGGATTCGGAATGGCATTGTAAAGAGATGTTTGAGGTTAGAGCTGAATCATTATTCATCCTATCTTTGCTGCTCAGACAATGAAGGAGCTGGAGATGAAAGGGTTGGCATGGCTGCTGCCGTGAGCTGGGACCCTAGCTCCCGCAGTGGGGTCCGACAGCTGCTCTTGGCTGGGTGAATGCGAGTAATTCAAGCTCTGCCCTACTTTGTCCGGTCCATCGTCACACACGTATGCAGCCTCACCTCACTTACGTTTCACTCTTTGTCAGCTCCCCTGGGAGACTGACGCACCATTTGTGGAACTGTATGGTGTACAGATGTTGGGGTGACGCGTATGGTAATGGTACCAAGGGTCTGGCGACCCTCTTGCAGGTGTCACTACTTGGAAACACTAGGAGATCCTCAGCAGGAAAAGTTTAATATAAAGTAATTTTATCAGGGATGGGGGAGAGGAAGGCTTACCTTTTAGTCCTTATACACTGTCTCAGGTACCTTGCTCTGCAGAGTTTCTATGTTTAATTAGTGTTCGCGCCTGAAATTTGATTATTCTCTGTGCTTAGTGCACTTTGGAACTCTAGAGCACAGATTACTGGCTCTGGCCCTGTGCTTTTTTGATGCTCTCTTAAATTATTAAATTGCTGAAAATTTTCCTAAGCCTCCGTCCCCACTCTAGCCTGTTCCTCTCTTGCTCCCTGTGGGCAGTTTTTCTCTGACATCCCAGATTCCCTTCATCTGCCTCCTTCCCGTGATGTATGTCTTAGCCGTCCCTCTCACCTTCAGCAGTATGTTTAGCCCCAGCTCTCCTGCTCAGGAAGGAGCCCTGGTGGCCAGCTGGCTGGGTTGCTAGCCAAAAGGTCAGTGGTTCAAACCCACCAGCCACTCCACGGAGAAAGATGAATTTGAATTTTGGGGTTTTCTTGTCCTGTTTCTTATGACTAGGAGAATACTTTCAGAATTCTCTGGCCACTTCCCGGGCCAAACTAATGAGTCAATTCCTGCTCATAGCACCCCTATACAGGGTTTCCGGGAGTGTAAATCTTCACAGGAACAGACAGTCATCTTTCTTCCAAGGGGCAGCTGGTAGGGTTGAACCCCTGACCATTTGGTTCACTGTTCAACACCTAACCCACATACCACCTGGGAAAGGCACGTACAATGGGGAAACAAAGGCAGGTACCCTTACGGCACTTTGTCTAAGCAAAGGATGGAAGGCCTTATAACTGGCCTCAGCTTCTCCCTTTTGCTGTTTTAGATTTGGGGAGTGGGAAGTGTGTTGTAAGAGGCTTGACCTTGTAGGAAGTGACCGGTAATGACAGCGCCCTCTGTTTCCTTCGCAGTGCTGGGCCTGGTTCTCCCCATGTGGGCAATAGCGCTCATCTCCTTCGGCGTTGCCCTCCTGTTTGCCCTTGTTGTGTGGATCTTTGTGTGCCCATGGATGCGGAGGAAAATAACAGGTAAGGACTTCTCTGTCTTTCTGATGTGCAGACATGCTCCTGAAACTTGAGACAGCACACAATCATCCTGCCTGAGGGCGGGAAGAGGTCCCAGGGAGAACTCCAGAATCTACATTAAGACACACGTCCCCACTCTGTCTCTGGGTTCTCGACACTTTAGACACTTTTGGGCTCATATGTTTTCTTTCAGTTTTATTGGCATATATTCCATATCATACAATTCAATCACCCGCATCATACAATTCATTCAATCACATCAAGAAGAACTGTACAATCATTACCACAATCAATTCCCGAACATTTTCTCTTTTTTCCCCCCATGACTAATTCACCTTTAAAGCCACCTGTGTAATTACACTCACTTCTAGTGCTCTCTCCCCCTCCCGCCTTCACTGTTTACTCCCCATGTCCCCTCACCCTCCCCACCTCCCCTCCTACCCACCCTGCATCCCTACAATTCCTTGCATCGGTTATTATCTCTAGGCATCCACACCTTCTGGGCTTCAAACTGTCCAACCCAGCAGAAACAACACGGAGCAAAAATGAAGTGAAGTGGTAAGGACAAAACAATAGCAATATAAAGATAAACATGCCACAGTGGGCAGGAAAGAAAAGACCTCCATCAATGTCCAAAAAGCAAGAGATCCTTGCAACTAGACCAAATTCAAGTTGGGTCTAGAGCAGTGGTTCTCAACTTGTGGGTTGCAACCCCTTTGGGAATCGAACAACCCTTTCACAGGGGTCATCCAATTCATAACTAGCAAAATTACAGTGAGGAAGTAGCAACGAAATTAGTTTTATGGTTGGCGCGTCACCACAACATGAGGACCTGTCTGAAAGGGTCGAGGCATTAGGAATGTTGAGTACCACTGGTCTAGAGCGAGATTAACTGGCCAAGTATCAAGTTTTATCCAGGCTAATCAGGATTTAAATGATCTATGTTTCACTGTAAGGCTAGTCCAGTACTTTGCCTGTGGCTAGGGGGTTCTGCCAGCAGCTGAATCTGACTAGATACTCTACATATAAATTTTGGACTCCCACTGTCCTCCCCAGCCTTCCACAAATTAGGTGTTCACAGTTTAATCTCTGATACTTTAACCTTCGTCATGTTTGAATCTTGTACTTGTCATCTTTGGATCACACAAGCTGGTGTGCTTCTTCTATGTGGACTTAGGTGACACCTCACTTAGATGGCTACTCGTTTGAATACAAGCCTTTAAGATCCCAGACACTAGTCCAGTCGATAGCCGGACACCATCTGCTTCTTCACCACACTTTGCTGTAGCACCCTTATCTTTAGTGATCTCTTCATGAAGGCAAGTATCAAGCCATGTTATCAGAATTATTCTTGTATTGGGACTAGAGTTAAGTGGGTGCCCAGAATCCATCTGCTTCCTATGGCATATGCATGACTGAGGTTTACTTTGGCAGTTGTCTTATGACAAAATCGAACCCCACATGACCCACTACATAAACAACAAAAAACTACAGGCAGGAAAAAAAATTTTTAAAGTTCAACATCATCCATCATCCCTCTGGGGTGTCAGGTGATTGCCCTGAAGACATCCATGTCCCTAGTGACACAGCACTGGGGACCCCGTCGGCATGAGGAGTCTGTGAGCACAGACCCACCGTGGGCTGCAGCCCGTGAGTTGTTGCCTGCACAGTGTGTCCGCCCATTCTGTTGAGCTCTGTTTACCATGAGTAGGAGGCTTGGTGCCCGGGACAAACTTCCCGGATCAGTTCTTCCATGTGCAGTTCCTTACCCAACGGATCAAAACCTGAAAGGGGCTACTAGATATATGGTGATTCTGGGTCCCTTTCCATTGGGCAAGGTCTGTCCACCAGGTGAAAAACATTAGTCTTCAGGGAAATGCAAATTACCGCCACAGTGAGATGTCCTTTCCCACCCACAAGAACGGCAAAGCTAGCAATTCCAAGTACTAGTGACGAAGTAGAATAGGTGGAATTCTCACCCACATACCATGACCATGTAAAATGACCCAACCACTTTGGAAGTCAGTTTAGCTCTTATGATGTAAAGCATGCATGTGCCATCTGACCCAATGTTCCATTCCTCGGTATTTGTCCAGGAGAAAAAACATGGTCATGAATGACTTGTACACACGTCTTAGTCTTAGTCACTAAAAATGGGAGCACCCTGATGCTCACTAGCAGGTGAATGGGTAACCAAATTGAAGGGTGTTTGTACAATAGTGCACGGCTTAGCAAAAAAAGAATAAACCACCAACAGACACAGCAGCAGAGTGAATTTCACAGGCGTCATGTTGAGCAAATAGTGCATCTTATATGATTCTGCTTTATAAAATTTGAGAGTGGAAAAATAATACGTAATAATTCCAATCTGATCTGTGGCTGCCTGGGGACTGTAGGGGCTGCAGGAGATTGCAGGGAGGATGAGGGCGTTTCCCAGATCATAAAAATGCTCATAGGTGTCGTGGCTGTGGTTTTATAGTGGTTCTGAATGTATGCATTCATCACAGGTCATCAACCTGTACATCTAAAACGTGGATGTTAAAATATGTACATGATACCGCAGTAAAGACAGTCCTTAAGAATGCAGCATGGACAGTCAGCGGTGGCTAATTTTCCTAGTACCAGTGACAGAAAGATGAGACTCTGTTCCTGTAAAATTTACAACCTCAGAAACCCCAGGAGCAGCTCTGCTTTCTCCTGTAGGGTCACTCTGAGTCGGAATCAACCTGAGGGCAGTGAATTTTGAATTTGAGTGCCAATTAAATTCCAGACCTACGAGCTACATGTGTTGTAGCTTTTTGTTTTTAATATTTACATTTGACCTTGGAATGTGTTATGTAAACCACATTATAATAAGCTGTATCTGCATTTTTTAAAGCCATATTTCAAAGAATAAGTAAATGATGAGGCATAGCGCACTCATTGACTGAATGGCTCCATAAAATAAATATGATAGGTCTTTCCAAGTTGATCTATAGGTTTAATGAAGTTGCTATGAAAACTCCAGGAGAATATTTTATAGATTTTAACAAGTTGCCTGTGAAATTCACGTAGAAAGGCAAAGGCTGCAGACTAGACGAAACAATTTTGAAAAAGAGTAAAGTTGGCGGACTCACATTAAGACTGTGCCCTCAAGCTGTACGGCGATACGGTGTCAGTGAAGAGACAGTGCCGTAGATCAGTAGAACAGAATTCATCCTGAAATCAACCCATAGAAACATTTCATTTGATTTCTGACAAAGGTACAAAGTGGAGAAAGGTAATCTTTCCACAAATAATGTTGAAACCGTTGAATATCATAAACTACGCCCCCAAAGAACCTCCATCTAAACTTCGCCATATGAAAAATTAGCTCCCAGTGTATCTTAGATTTAAGTATAAGATGAAGACTTTCACTGAAAGCCTAAGAGAAGACTTTCAGGATTTTGAATTGAGCAAAGAGCTTTTCTTAGCCACGACAAACCAAAAGCACAGTCCATAAAGAAAACTGCTGATAGATTGGACTCAGTCAACTTAAAAACTTTTGTTCTGTCAGAAACTCAATTTGGGGAATGAAATGCTAAGGTACACATAAGGTACACATTGGGAGAAAGTGTTTGCAGGCCCCATCTCTGACAAACGACTTGTATCCAGACTGTAAAAAGAAATCTAAACACTTAACTGCAAGAAAACAGACAAGCAAATCAATAATAATGAAAAGATTACAACTCACCAAAAAAGATAGATGGTAGATAAACACGTGAAAAGATACTCAATATCGTCAGTTACCAGGAAAATGCAGATTAAAGCCACAATGAGATAGTACCACACATTTATTAGAATGATTTAAACAAACACTGACCGTGCGAAGGATGTAGAGCCCTTGAAGCTCTCAGCCCGGTGACGCGGTTGCGGAATGGCACACCCCTCGGGGAAACAGTTCACAGTGTCGTGGGAGATTCACTAGACAGTGGTTCTCACCCTTCCTAATGCCGCGACCCTTTAAGACAGTTCCTCATGTGGTGGTGACCCCCAACTGTAACATTATTCTCATTGCTACTTCATAACTATAATTTTGCTACTGCTATGAATCTGGCAACCCCTGTGAAAGGGTCGTTCGACTCCCAAAAGGGTCATGACCCACAGGTTGAGAACCGCTGCAGTAGACACATCCCACATGCCCAGTAGTTCCACTCCTAAATGTTATCCCTTGAGAAATGAAAACTGAATTTCACAGAAATACCTACACTTGCATGTCATTTATCGCCACTCAGAACTAGAAACGACTCCATGCCCACCATCAGGGGTGAATGGGCAGCCAAGCTGGCACCTCTGTCCACTGGCATACCACTCAGCAGTGAAGGAGAAGGAGCTGTTTCTCAGTGCAGCAATGTGGATGAACTTCAGAGGTGTCACATACGGAGCCAAAAGCCAGTCTCGTGAAAGTTGCACACTGTACGACTTCACTTGTGTGACATTTCTGGAAACAGCGACATCTTAGGGACCGGGAAAGGCTCAGTAACTGCCAAGGCTGAGAACTGGGTATAGGGTCTTAATACCACAGGTATTTGTAGGAGTGATGGAGCTCTCCTGTACCCTGATTGTGGGCCTGGTTACAAGACTGTCTCTGCTCATGTGTTAAAATAGAATTGTGGACATACACCTGCCTGTACATATACACACAGGGTCAGTTTTGTTTCATATAAGTTCAAAAAATTAAGTCCTAAAAAATCCATATTAATACAGACAATTTCAAAATAACATTGAAGCCACATGGGTAATGGATTGATAATCCGTTGTCTCTTCACCTCTCTGTGTGCCTACCTCCAGCTCTGTGTTGAGAAAAGATTATGTAAACACAGATTACCAGCATTAGATGAGCTGCCCTGAAACATACTGTATATCTCATTCACAACTGGGAAGTGATAATATAAGTTTAAATGCTTTGGTCTTTTAAAATCTTTTTAATACCTGAGCCTTCATGTTAAATTGGATGCAAACCCGTTGCTTTCCAGCTTTAGGCTGGAATGTCAGAGCAGGAACAGCACATGCCTTCTCCTTCGGACTTCTCAGGAGACTTGAAGTAGAACCTAACAATTAAGGCTACATTTGGCTGCATCTGAATTTTGCCTGCACAGAATCTTGAATCTGTCTGCCATTACTAGCTCTGTAACTTTGGGCAAGTTTCTTAATCTCTGTGCCTCAGTTTACTCATTAATAAAATGAAAAGAAACAATCATACCTGTCTTATATTAGAGTTAACTGTCATTGTTAGGAGGTGGCGTAGTGTGTGATGAGCCAAATGTTGGTGGTTCAAATCCACCAGACCCTCCGTAGGAGAAAGATGCAGCTGCCTGCGTCTGTGAAGATGTATAGCCTTGGACACAGTCACTAAGTACAAGAATCAACCTGATAGCAGTGGGTTGGGTTTGGGTGCTTGGTTAATATTGTTAGAGTTACTATTTTCTATCTATGTTACATATAGTATCTTCTCTATATTACAAACTAAAGTTGGAGGGGTGTGTGTGTGTGTGTGTGTGTGTGTTCTCTGAAGAACATAATAGAATGGTTTTAAGCTCTATATTTCTAAGTAGATACAGAGATCATACTCAGATGCAGGTATAGATATGTTCTGGTTGGGTGTTTTCAAGTTGGTTGCACCTCATGGCGACCCCGCATGACAGGGTAGAACTGTCTCATCGAGTTTGTCTGGTTGTGCTCTTTATGGAAGCAGATTGCCAGGCCTCTCTCCTGCGGAGATGTATAGAGATAAGTATAGATACATACATACACACATTATTCTTTGCCTAGCTATATACATCTATATTACTTTATGTAAGTTATATGTACATCTAATCTTATCCAGAAGAGGAATTCAAGTGCTTTTCCAATTCCGTTCTGGAGGCAAAAGCTTAGAACGTTGCTCTGGATGATTTGCAAACAACAAAATCATCAAATCAGCAGCAGCAGGAACCAGATCTGGTTTTAAAAAAAGGATGCTAGTGATCTTTAGAATAATGTTTTAAATCCCTTTTCTCGTTTTAAAGTAGTATCTCCCTGCTCCTTGGGAGGGAAAGGCTGTATTTGCTTGCTAATGTTTGGTAGCCTGGAGAAATTTGAGACCAGGAGTAGAAAGCAAATGTTTGTAGAATAGTGATGGCAACAAATGTACAAATGTGCTTGACACAATGGATGGATGGATGGATTGTGCTAAGAGTTACACGATCCTCCAATAAAATGGTGTTTTAAAAAGACATGAAAAAGAAATAAATAAATTTGTGACCAGGAACTTACTGAACAACAAAGAAGGGAACGTGCTGTCACAGTGTCTCTGGAGACAAAGGCATACATCGCCGTGATGCTGGGAGGGGTCGAAGAGCAGAGAAAGACAGTTGGGGGGGCGGGGGCTGTAGAGTTAGAGACTGCTGTCCCTGGCAGGAACCTTCATGACAGACCAAGCCCGCCCTTTTTTCGTTGTTTACAGATCAAGTGATTCAGGCCCTAAGCCCCATCTTTGGCTCAGGAGCCCTATGTAACTGAGTTATCCTTAGTACTCACTCAACTTGTGTTTTACTTTCCCCATCCAGATAGAACTTAGCCTTTTGTTTGGTTGGTTGGTTTCCAAAGTAAGTACTAAAGTATAATGCTACATGTTCATTTTTTTAGTAGTAAGAATTCTCTTCCAAAAATTTCAGGTGTGACTTTATTTTACTCAGGCAAATTGCAGAAAGAAGGTGCTTTATCACAAGTATCTGATGAGAGCCTCAGTAAAGGGCCAGATGTGGAATCGTCAGTATTCAGAGAGCTCCCCGGGGCCAAGACTACTGACAACAGCACTGTCCCTCTGACGGGCTCAGCCGGGGAGGTCTCGGGGCCCTCAGAAGGCACCTCTGTGGGAAACCATCCTCGGGCCTTGTATGGTAAGACGCAAGCCGAGGGAGGCGGGAGGCAGGCGAGGTGTGGGGTTTACCTGGTGGCAGAGAGAAGTTTCTCAGGGGACAGCCAGCCAAGTCTGGGCATGGGCAGTCAGGTTTGTTAAAGTGACCCCCAATTTTATGCTGTGAGAAAGCAGAGAGGTTGGAAAGTCAGCAGAGCAGGGTTACACTTGTCCTGTGATTTTCTTCCAGGAGATATTTATAGTCTTATCCAGGCGCCGAGGGCCCACACACTGTGTGCACAGCGCTGACTCAGCTTCATGCCAGGTGGCTGTGCTGCGGTACTCGCCTGGATGCGGCAGGCGGGTTTGCACAGCCCTTTAAGGAGGCCTCCCTCGGGGAAGCCCTGACGAGATAGCTCACGCTGGATCTAAGGAGAGCATCCCCACACAGAATCACAGAGACTGTAGACACCATCGGGACCGCTCCTGGCGTCTCCTGGGCCCCATAGCATTTGAAGGCAATGTTGGGCAAGCCCCAGCCTTTACCCAGGGCGCTCCAGGATGCACTGGCCTCTGAGCAAGGTGGACTGTGGCCCACAGAAAGCAAGTTCATTGTGTCACATAGCTGACAAGACCCTACCTTCTGGCGGTCATGATGGGCCATCTAAGGAGCATGTAGAATAGCTCCCTCATCGGTGGAGTCATTCTAAATTAGACTGCTTTTAATTATTTCCCCTTTATTGATACCTAGAAAGACCCAAATGACCTAGAACGCGTCATTTCGGACAGACAGACACTCTTTATGAGCGCTTCAATAACATTTTTTAAATGTATCATATTAATAGTCTTACCTTTTGGTTATGAACTTCTAAGTTTCTTTTGTTACTGTAACTACATCACATATTCTCTATAGTCAATCTAGAAAAGGCTTTTTCTTAATCTGTAGAAGAATAAAAGTCACTCGTGGCCCAGCCTCCTAGAGACAGCCGCCATTCAGCAGTGCAGATGGGGGGTGGGAAGGGTACTTTCCAGACATGAACATAAGCTGCCTCTCACCCTTCTCAGGAAGGGCCCTGTCCATGACTCACGGCTCTGTGAAGTCGCCCATCTCCAATGGCACATTTGGCTTCGACAGCCAGACCAGGAGCGATGGCCACGTGTACCACACCGTGCACAAGGACTCTGGGCTCTACAAAGACCTGCTGCACAAAATCCACACAGACAGGGGCCCGGAGGAGAAGCCTGCCCCGGAGAACAACTACCGGTTTCTGCGGCGGAACAACAGCTACACGTGCTACACGGCGGCCATCTGCGGGCTGCCGGTGCACTCGACTTTCAAAGGGGCCGAAGCCTCATCGGCGCCCGAGGACAGCGAAAAGCTGGTGGGGGACACCGTGTCCTATTCGAAGAAGAGACTTCGCTATGACAGCTACTCCAGCTACTGCAACGCGGTAGCTGAGGCTGAGATCGAAGCGGAAGAGGGCGGGGTGGAGATGAGGCTGGCGTCGGAGCTGGCAGACCCTGACCAGCCTCGGGAGGACCCCGTGGAGGAGGAGAAGGAGGAGAAGGACACGGCCGAGGTGCACCTCCTGTTCCACTTCCTACAAGTCCTCACAGCCTGTTTCGGATCCTTTGCTCACGGTGGCAACGATGTGAGGTGGGTGCGTTGTTCCAGTCATTCGGCACGGCCGGGACGAGGGTCTGCCCTGTGCCAGCCACCAGCCTGTGCCCAGTCACACCCTTCCTTTAAGGAGGTCACTTTCTAGTTGGGGATGTTAATTAAATAGGTAGCATGTCTAGATTGATTAAAAAGACCTAAACCCATTGGTCTCAAGTTGATTCCAACTGATGACAACCCATGTGGGACAGAGTAGAGTGGTCACAGGGTTATCTTGGCTTCCGATCGCCAGGCCTTTCCTCCATGGTACTGCCAGGTGGGTCTGAACAGCCAACCCTGAGCTTGATATTGTTGTCAGTTGCCATCAAGTGCCATTCCCACTCATGGCCACCCCGTGTGTAGGCCAGTAGGTAAGCACACACCTCTACGCACCCCCAGGGACCTTCCAAAAGCGAACTCACTGCCCTCGAGTCGATGCCAACTCAGAGCGACCTGTAGGACAAGAGAACCGCCCCTGTGAGCTTCCGAGGCTGTAGCTCCTCAGTGAAAGCCCCGTCTGTCTCCCTCGGAGCAGCTGGTGTTTCACAGTACTGACCTTGCAGATCGCAGCCCCTCAGGGAACCACTCCACCCCCAGGGCTCCTCAGGGACGGTGGGTAGTGGTGATACATGCTGATGGGAGAATAAAGGGGAAAGGGAGCGTGGCCTTGGGGGCTGCAGGCTGGCCAGTGCCATCTGAACGGGTGAGGGAGTCGGCCATGCGCATGGGGGCAGTGGCTCTAGAAGAGGGACCAGCTGGCACTGGGACCTGAGGCAGGAGCACACCTGGTGCATTCGAGGCACAGCAAAGGAGGCCACAGAGGGGCAGGTGTGGACAGGAAGCGGGCGAGGCACAGCGGATGCACAGAGAAAGGAAGTGAACAGCAGTCCACGAGACCCACGTTTTACAGCACTACTCTGGCTTTTGTTTTGTCAGCACAGGGACGAGGGCACAAGCAGACACCAGCTAGAAGGGGTCACTGCACGGATCCCAGGGAGAAGTGACGTGACTTGGACTGGTGGTAGCAGGGATAGAATCTGGTTGTACTTTCAAACAAGAATCAATAGCGTTCGCTGACAGATTGGATATAGGGTGTGACGGAAAGAGATAAACCAGGCTGAGTCCCACCGGCTAAGAACTCTAAGAGGCCATTTAATAGGAAGGCCAGCTACAAGAGAAGCAGGTGTGGGTCAGGAGAATAGAAGCTGGGCTTTGGACATGTTAGTTTGAGATGGGTAAACGGTTAGTGCCTCTTGGCTGCTAACTGAAAGGCCGCTGGTTTGAGTCCACCGAGAGGTGCCACAGAAGAAAGTCCTGGATACTTTAGAGAAAGCAGCCATCGAAAACCCGGTGGAGCACAGTTCTCTGGCACACAAGGTTGTCGCGAGTCAGAGCTGATGCACAAGGCAAAATGTGATGCCCTTGAGAACCAAGTTGACAAGGTTGAGCAGGTGCTGGCCGCGTGAATCTGAGGTTCAGGGAGAAGTCCAGGCTGGGGTGTGGAGAGGTGACTCCATTGGCTGATGGTGTAGGACAGGGATGAGGCCCCTGGAGAGCCAGTGTAGCTGGAGAAGAGAAGGCATGAGGCTGGAGCCTTCCCAAGCTGAAGGAAGAAACGGAGTCTGAGACTGCTCAGATGAGTGATGTTCTGAGAACTTCCCCATGGGAATTTGTCTCTCACACATACTCAGCGTCAACCTGGAAGCAGACATCTGTATCCCTTCAAATCGGTTCTTACTCATTCAGAACTTGCAAACGAGTTATGGAAAGGTGTTTTCAGAACTGCAGACAGCACAGTAAATGGTCCCTGAGCAGCTTCCCCTTCTTTCGTTTAGTCAGCAAGCATTTATTGAGCACCTACTGTGTGCCAGAACAGTCTGGTGCCCGAGCTAGCAGGGTGAATGAAACAGAGTCTGTGTGCTCATCTGTTCAGGGAGAGTGGTGAGCTGTCAGTGAGCTGTGGCCTGAGTCGGGGAGAGGCAGGGCCGGGCCACTCTGCCTGTGGCTGCCTTATGGAGCTTTGGGGTGCCTGATGAAACAGTGGGACAGGACCTCTTTTCTCCTGCTCTGAAGAGGGAGTTGTAATGTGTGAGGAAAATAACCATGCTCCCTCAGCCTCCCCCAGCCATCTCTGTGCCCAGGCTGCCCCTGTAGGAAGCTGGGGGTACCTCCTGCAGTCTGACCGCCTCGGGTTTGAGGCTGTGCCCTCTTCTCACTAGCTGGGAGCCCTAAACCTTGTTTTCCCGTGTGTAAAGTAGAGTTAGGATTAGTACCAACCCTAGAGGGTTTCCAAGGCTGTCCGCCTGCACAGAAGCAGACAGGCGAGTCTTGCTCCCAAGGAGCTGCTGCTGAGTTCAGACCACTGGCCTTCTGGTTGGCAGTTGTGTGCTTTGACCACTGCATTCCCAGAGGACAAATGAGGACAAAAATAAGCATTTGTTGCATTGTATTGCCCCGCTGTGGGTTTCTGGATGCCCGGGGCTACTGCATTCTTGGGTTTTACTGCCAGGCTCAAGGCTTTGTTTGCTCAGTGTCAGTCCCCACACCATTGTATTTGGGTACAAATAAATCTGTGCTGGAAGAAGTACAGCCAGAATGCTCCTTAGAAATGAGGATGAAGAAGCTTCATTTGACGTACTTTGACCATGTTACCAAGAGAGACCAGTTCCTGGCAAAGGACATCTTCCTCGGTAAAGTCGAGCGAGGAAGACCCTTGATGAGATGGGTGGACACAGTGGCTGCAGACCTGGGCTGACATAGAGCCACAGTGTGAGGGTGCTGCGGGACAGCACCGGGCTTTCGTTTACTGGGCACAGGGTTGCTGTGAGTCAGAACCAACTTGGCAGGCCCTTGCCAACATGTCCTGGGGTGCTCGGAAGGATGTTTTGTCTGCCCCTCACTTGGCAACCAGGGCCTCCTGTTCGGGTCATTGTGAGAAGTAACAACGGCAGTAATGTGTATGCTCCCAGAGGTGGGGACCAGAAAGGACAACTAATACTCCTAGCAGTAGCACATGTGTGCTTTCACATCTGTGAAAATGGGAGAATAATAGGAGGTGGGGAAAAGAGAGAAAAACTTAGTTAACACGCTCATTTTTGTGTTTCCCCATACTTAAAGAAAAAAGATCATTTTTATTGTTCCTAGATTATGTAAGTGAGCCACATGAAGGGGCTTCAAAGAGGTGGTAGGAAGGAGCCTTAACAGTTGCTCATGGAATGTTTCCACCAGCTCCGGAAGCCCCTTGTGCAGTAGGTTGGCTGACCTCAAGCCTGTCAAGTCTCATGGGGATTTTTTTTCCTCTCTCTTTTGTACAGTAATGCCATTGGTCCCCTGGTAGCTCTGTGGCTTATTTACGAACAAGGCGGAGTCCTGCAAGAAGCAGCTACTCCTGTCTGGCTGCTCTTTTACGGAGGCGTCGGGATCTGTATGGGCCTCTGGGTGTGGGGGAGGAGAGTCATCCAGACCATGGGAAAGGACCTCACTCCCATCACACCATCCAGGTAAGCACATGGTTTGGGCTGGTGGTCAGAGCTTGGCGTTTGAGACCCTGGGTGGTTCTGGGTGCAAACCCTGCCACACGACCTCCGTCCCCCGACCCCCCATGGCTGCTCAGCACAACTGTTGGTTGTCACTGCAGAGAAAGGGGTCCAAGGGAAAGAACACCTCCCCAGCCTTGGCTCTCCACCTGCACGTTCCCAGCCCCACCCTCACTGCATGGCTCCCCCTACCTCCCCACCACCACCATCCAAAGAGGCTCCGAGATGAGGGCAAGACAGGGAAGTGGAACACAAGGGAAGAGAGAGCGCAGGGCCCCACCCCCATCAGCTCGCTCTGTCGGTCTTACCCAGTCTAAGGGCCAGAGTACCAGGTGCAGGGACCACACCAGGGGCCTGGCCTGCCTCCCCTGAACCCTCTAGCCACCAGTCCCCTGCTCTTCCCTCCCGGGGAGCCCCATAGATCCATCAGACCTTGTGCCCAACCTGCACCACACCCTTCCTTCCATTGTGCCTTGTGCATCTTTCTTCAGGCCACCTTCCCACTGTGGGGTGCTGGTCATTGCCGATGCTTTCCTATGGCCGTTCTGTCCTGGGGCCATTGCTGCTGTGCTTTAGAGACACCAAACCAAGCCCCCTGCCCTCGAGTGGATGCTGACTCAGAGTGACCCTATAGGGCAGGGCAGAACTGCCCCTGGGAGTTTCTGAGATGGAAACTGTACAGGAGTAGAAAGCCCCATCTTTCTCCCATGGAACAGGGAGTAGTTTCAAACCGCCGACTGTGTGGTTAGCTATCTAACACGCAGCCACTGTGCCACCAGGGCTCCTTATTCTGTAATATATCGGGGGAGATAACAAGCTCTTTAAAATTTTTCAAGGAAAATATAAAATCCCTAGTGGCTTCATGAATTGGGTTGGGCTACTAGCCACAAGGTCAGCAGTTCAAAACCATCAGCCATTCCAAAGAATGCCGATGAGATCCTGTGCTTCT